TTTGCCAAGAAGTAATAGTTGTTCCAAAGGAATACAATCTTCATCACCATTTTGAATCAAAACCTCCTGACTTAAGCAAATTGGACACCAATGAAAACCAAATAAAAGCATCCAAATAGTTGAAAAATCCCAGTGGGGAGCAATGGTTTGTCAAGAAAGTAAACTCAGAAAATGAGGTGGCTACTAAGGTTAGTTTTCAGATTTCTAAAAATACAGATTTCAAACATGATTCCAGAGTATGATAAACTGATGGCTGACAAGAAGTGTAATATGTCCCATTAACTAAATGTAAACAGTAAGAAAACCTGAAAAATTGCATTAAAACTTGTACTGCTTAGCAAAGTAATTTTTTTAATATGAATATGATTTCATGATAAATAAAAATCTTAGGTAATAAGAGTAATTAATTGATATTGATTGAAATTTCCCTTTTAAAAAAAATATGGTTTATTTACAAAATAGTTTAATTATTAATTATACTTTTACTTTGAAAATGACCTGCTGAAAACCTATCTGGGGCCTGAAGAAGTTTAGCCTATTTTAATTTTGACCCCTACCTACTGCCAAGTTGTGCAGGTCTGATCTACTGTGTCAAAGAATCATAGATTTAGAGCTTGAAGCAACCATAGAGAATATCTATTCTGATGTTCCTCATTTTATAGAAGAGGAAACTGAGCCCTAGTGAGGTAAGATTAGCTTCCAGGGTTAAAAGGGTAATAAATGTCAGACCTGGGATTATATGTAAGGCTTTGTGGTTAGCACTGGTACTATGCTAGGATAGAATATTCTATTCTGGCAGATAGTTATTGTACATTTGTATTATATATTCTACTCACTTGGCTAGATTGTGAACTGAACTCCATGAGGTCAGGGACCATATTCTGATGATCTTTGTGGTCCCTAGTCCCAGCAAAGCTTTTGTCCCTGCCTAGAAGGTATCATTACCCATGACAAGCTCTCAATAAAAATAAATGTTTCTTCAATGAATATATGAATGAATTAGGAGGAGGAGGGTACAGAGAATGTATAATATGGTGAATCTGAGATTCAAGGGAGCATTTGAATGATTCTGTCTCCAACCCGTGCATTAGTACTCTAAAACTTGAATAGATTTGTTATATCAATGGACACACTCCTTCCTACAGGAATGATCACAAACCATCCACGTTTTCTCATCCTGTGTAATTCTTGTTCCTGTTCTCCCATCAGTCCTCCTTAAAGGAGCCACTTGATAAATGCCAGGACTGGGGAAAGAATGGGCGAAAGAGGGCTTACTTTATGTATGCGTATGTATGCACACACACACACATACGCACATACTTTTTGTTGATGCAAATACAAGTACTAGGCTGTTCATTTGTTACCTTTAGTTCTTGCCACATCATCATCCCACCACCTTTTCCAATCATACTTCTCTTGGATGATGTTTTCTACCCTACGAAAGTCATTGGTAATAAACTGAAGCCTGCTTACACTTAGCCTGGACTTCTCCAGTATACTTTAGATCATCTGCCATTTTAATTCCTTGGACATGACGATGTTCAATGATACATAGGCATTTAGCATTACAATTAGGGCAATCAATTCAACATTTATTAAGAGCCCAGTGAGGTGCCAAGGATTCAAAAACAAGAATGAAACAGTCCCTGCCCTCAAGGAAATTATATTCACCCATGAAATACCTCCAAATCATATTACAAATAAAACAGGAACAAGAGACAATATGATCTTAGAAAAAGAGTATTAACCTGGAAATTAGAAGTCCTGCATTATAGTCCCAGTTCTATCCAGTAATCAAAAAATCAACAAACACTTAAGTGACTACTATTTGCCAGGTACTGTGGTAAGTGTTGGATATTCAGAGACAAACCTAAGATTTTCTTTACAATATGACAAAAGTTTTTTTTTTCCTCTATGTGCCATAACTTCCTGAAGAGTAAAATAAAAGAGTTATACTATATAAGATCTCTAGAGTCACTAAAAGTCCACAGAAAATTAGGAATTTGTACAGATTCACACAGCAAATTAGCAAAGCCAAGAATTCAACTCCAGTCTTTCAGTTCTCTGACCAATGCAATGTATTCAGATTATCCAAACGAAGGAGGAGCACAACAGCACAGGTGAAAAAATGTGGGTTTTTTAAACTTTACTCAACATGCCATTTTGCAATATTCCCATCAAATGATGCTTATGAATCCTTTCTTACTGAGTGAGTCAGTAAGTTTTTATGGCATCCCACAAAAATTAATATTACTGGAATAGCTGTGCAACATAATATAAAGAGTACTGGATTCGGAGCCAGTGGAAGCCTTAGGTTTGATTGAATACCGATTCTTCTACATTTGCTTATTAACTGAGTGCCATTGGTTAAGTTGCTTTGCTTCTAATTTTTCAGGTATAAAAAGATGAATCAACTGATCACAAAACTTTAGAATCTGAATATTGTAAGGTCCCTCGGGGGCATCATTCCAATTCCTACCAGATCAGCAATCCCATCCATGATATCCTCAACCTCTTCTGCAAGACTTTCCATGATTAATCCCTCTTCAGTTCTCAATGGCTCAGGGACCTTAGTGGCAGAGTGGGAATTCAAGCTCAGGATTTTTGTCTCTTAATCCAGGGCTTTTTGTTTTATAGTACAATTGTAAAATATCAAGATCATAAGAATTGATAGCTTTTGCAATTGAAAGGGACTTTAGAGATTTTCAAGTTCAAGGGACAACAACAGTTCCTTAAGCATTTACTATGTGCTAGGCACTTTATTAAACCCCAAATATAAGCCCCAAAAAAGGACAATTCTTGCCCGTAAGAAGTTTACATTTTCGTGAGAAAAGATATCACATAAAAGGGAATTTTAAAAGTCTATATGTGGGGGCATGGGGATAGGAGATATATCCATAGGGATATGATCATGAAGTCTCAAGATTTAGGAGTGGAGCCAGGAGAGGAATGAGGAATGTCTGCACTAGGATACTTCCTCAAAATGGAGTTTCCAGGAGGAACTTTCAAATAAAAAGAGTGAGAAAGCAGCTGAGGCATGGTTCAACACTATCGTTTTAGAACAGAGAAAACTAAGAGCCACAGAAAATTAGGAATTTGTCCAGATTCACACAGCAAATTAGCAAAGCCAAGAATTCAACTCGGGTCTTTCAATTCTCAGACCAATGCAATGTATTCGGATTTTCCAAACAAAGGAGGAGCACAACAGTACAGGTGAAAAATATGGGTTTTTTTTTTAACTTCACTCAACATGCCATTTTGCAATATTCCCATCAAATGATGTTTATGAATCCTTTCTTACTGAGCGAGTCAGAGAGTTTTTATGGCATCCCATCTCTTACTCATAGGACCATTATTGACCCTATTAATTAGGACACTGTGGCAAGCATGCACATGTCTATCCACAAACTTTTAGCCTGAGAATCAAAGGGGGAAATATATTTGAAGGGTGGGGAAGGGAGGGGAGTGTCAGAAGACTCAGTAATGAAGTCACAAATGCTATGAGACCAGCTGGGTTTCAGTCACTTAATAGACTCCAAGCAATTGGATAGATATCTGGGTTGGGCCTTACCTGTTGACATATAATTATGAGGCCCCGAAGAGACTGATGCTGCTTAAGGCTTTGGAAACATATTAGTTATTGGTGAGGACAAGTCTGCCAAAAGCTGTAAAGGTGATTTCAAAGCAGTGAGAGCTTGTTATGCCACACATGCCACACATCAGGAGGCCTGATCCTGGTAGGTGTGAACACATTGCAGTCATGCCTTTTGTGTGAATTGATCTGCCCAGAGAAGTAAGATTGTAGAATTGATAAATTTCATTTTGCAGATGAAGAAACTGAGACCTAGGGGAGAAAATTAATCTCAAAGTTGAAAAGGACCTTGGAAAAATCTTATCTAATCCATACCTAAAGGAACTGCCTCTAAAACAAAGGATCAGAGATTTAGAGATAAAAGAGAATTTAGATGTCATCTGTTTCAACCTCTTCATTTTACAGATGAGGAAACTGAGACCCACAGAAATAAAATGGCTTGTCCAAGATCAACTATCTACCAAGTGTCTGGAATTTGAACCAAGATCCTTTAGGAGCTCAACACTCTTTTCACTGCCCCACACTGCCTCACCATAACCCCAGTAATTGACTATTCAGCTTAGTGTGAATATCTCTGGGATGGGGAAATTTATCATCTCCCAGGCAAGCCATTCTAGCTGGAGATAGTTCCAATACTTAATAATGTTTTCCTTATAGAGAGCTAAAACCTACTCTCTACAACCTGGTCCCATGGCTGTCCTCTGGGACCATGAAGCATCTGTCTGCTTCCTCCGGTCTACATTAATACTTTAATGTAATATTTTACATTAAATACTTTAATACTTAAATACTTGAGGACAGTCTTCCCCTTTGCCTTCCATTTGCCTCCAAATAAAATTGCCTCCTAATATATCTGAATGACATTTTACAGTTTCCAAAAGCATATCAATACTCTTTGTCTCATAGAAGGACTGAGTTGGAAGGGACTTTAGAATCACAGAATTAACAGATTCCAGATCTTGAAGGAACCTCTGTGCAAATAATATTAAAATATGTAATATTATAACATAAAATGGAACATTAGAGCCAGAAGGGATTTGGGAATAAAATATCCATACAATGTCATTGAAGATGCCTAAAAGTAGTAGAATAAAAATAATGCTTAATAGTTAGAAGGGGACTTCTGCTTCCAGGAGCCAAGATGGCAGAGTAAAAAGGTAGTCGCTCTTACCCTCCCCTATCCACCTCTGAAAACCCAGAAAATATCACCCCAGAAAAAACCCTGGAACAGCTGAACCAGAAGAAAGACGGGGAGCAGCAGAGCAGTAGCCCAGCAAACGGGTCTCCCAGTGCCTGAGCAAACATAAGGGAAGCAGCACTACAAAGGGCCCCAGGCAGATAAGCACCCGGCAGCATTCGTCTGAAAGGAGCTGAAGAAAGCAACCTAGAAGTGCCAAAAAGTTCCAACCTTGTTGATTCCAGCCCAACTCCAGGTAAGCTGTCAGAACCCTACAGCCTCCAACTGCCAACCAGGAGGAGATCCCAAAGCCCAGGTGGTCAAGCAGGCAAACATCAACAGTTGTACCTCTGAGTGCCTCAGTGAAGGTGGGGTAACTGGTGGAAACCAGCTCAGAAAACCACCAGGTGCCTTGGCATTCTACAGCAAAGAAGTCTCCCAGTGCCTCAACAGAAATAAGGGAGGCAGCACTGCAAGGGGCCCCAGGCAGATAAATACCCGGCAGCACTTATCTAAAAGGAGCTAAACAAAGCTAAAGGAAAGGAAAAGCAGGCAACCTAGATTTACCTGAAAGTCCCAACTTTGCTGATTCCAGCCCAACACCAGGTAAGCTGCCAGAACCCTACAGCCTCCAATTGCCAACATAAGAGGCCCCAGCACACAAAGCCAGTGACCAAGACCTAGTCTCCCAACACAAGAAGCTTGGGTCAGTGCCCTCTGCTCCCCAGCAGGAGAGTGTAATCTCTTTAAAGGCCAGGGAATAAAGAAACACCATGAGTAAAAAGAAATGTACGATAGATTCATATTATGAGAAAGTGAAGATAAAGACAGATATTCTGAAGAGGACAACACTGTCATCAAACCCACATCTGCAACAGCAAACGGGAATATGATCTGGTCTGAAGCCCAAAAAGCCTTCTTAGAAGAACTCAAGAAGGATTTTAAAAGTCAAATGAGAGAGATAGAGGAGTCCTTTAAAAGTACAGTTGGCCAATTGGAAAAAAAGTACAATGAAGAAAATAAATCCCTTAAAAATACAATCGACCAATTGGAGAAGAAAGTACAAAATCTAACAGAAAAAAACAATATGTTAAAAATTAGAATTGGGGGCAGCTAGGTGGCGCAGTGGATAGAGCACCAGCCCTGAAGTCAGGGGGACCTGAGTTCAAATCTGTCCTCAGACCAAACACTTGACACTACTAGCTGTGTGACTCTGGGCAAGTCACTTAACCCCAATTGCCTCACAAAAAAAAAAGAAAAAAACAACAACAACAACAAAAATTAGAATTGAACAAATGGAAACTAATGACTCTATGAGAGAGCAAGAATCAGTCAAACAGAAACAAAAAAATGAAAAAATAGATGAAAACATAAAATACCTCATGGGTAAAACAGCTGACCTGGAAAATCGATCCAGGAGAGACAATTTAAGAAGTACAGGGCTTCCTGAAAGTCATGATGAAAAAAAGAGCCTGGACAATATCCTTCAGGAAATCATAAAGGAAAACTGCCCTGAAGTCCTAGAACCTGAAGGTAAAATAACTATAGAAAGAATCTACCACTCCCTGTCTGAAAGAGATCCCAAATTGAAAATGCCAAGGAATATAATAGCTAAATTCCAAAATTACCAGATTAAAGAGAAATTACTGCAAGCAGCCAGAAAGAAGCAATTTAAATATCATGGAACCACAGTCAGGATTACACAGGACCTTGCAGCCTCTACACTAAAAGACTGTAGGGCATGGAACATGATATTCCATAAGGCAAAGGAGCTTGGAATGCAGCCAACGATTAACTACCCAGTGAAAATGAGCATGATTTTTCAGGGAAGAAGATGGATATTCAATGAAGTAGGGGATTTCCAAATGTTCCTGATAAAAAGACCAGAGCTCAACAAAAAAGTTGATCTTCAAGTACAAGATTCAAGAGAGACATAAAAAGGTAAATGAGACAGAAAGATACAATATGTTGTTACTTAAGGCAAACTGTTTACGTTCCTACAAGGGAAGATGACACTTGCAACTCTTGAGAACTGTATTGTTATTACATTATGTTAAAGGGGGTGGATATAAGTTGACTTTGATGTAATGATAAAAAAAAATTTAATCAAGTGGGTTAAATGGATCCAAGTAAGTGGATTAGTCTGAGCTAAGAAAATGTACTGAGAAAGGAGGAGGCAGACAAGGGTAAATTACATCACAAGAAAAGACACAAAAACCTATTGGAGCAGAGGTAAAGAAGGGAGGGGGATGAGCATTGTTTGAACCTTACTCTCATCAGATTTGGCTCAAGAAAGGAATAACATAATCAGTTAGGTATAGAAATCTAACTTGCACTGTAAGTGGTAGGAGGGGAAAGGGGAAAGAAAAGGGAGGGGGGATAGAAGGGAGGGAAGAAGCAGTAAGGGTAAAGGGGAAGAAAATGGAAAGGGATAATAGAAGGGAGGTGGGACCAAAGGAGGCACTGGTCAAAAGCAAAACACTAGTGAGGGAGGGAAAGGAGAAAGGAGAAAGAAAAGCATAAACAGGGGTGGGGGAAGGATGGAGAAAAAGACACAGATAGTAATCATAACTGTAAATTTGAATGGGATGAACTCTCCCATAAAATGGAAGTGTATAGCAGATTGGATTAAAAACCATAATCCTACAATATGTTGTTTACAGGAAACACATCTGAAAAAGAGTGACACATACAGGGTAAAGGTAAAAGGCTGGAGCAAAATATGCTTCAGCTGAATTAAAAAAAAGCAGGGGTAGCAATCCTGGTCTCAGACAAAGCAAAAGCAAAAATAGATCTTACCAAAAGAGATAAGGAAGGAAACTATATCCTGCTAAAAGGTACCATAGACAATGAAGTAATATCATTACTAAATATATATGCACCAAATGGTATAGCATCCAAATTCTTAGGGGAGAAGTTCAGGGAGTTACAGGAAGAAATAGAGAGCAAAACTATGCTAGTGGGGGACCTCAACCTCCCCCTCTCTGAACTAGATAAATCTAACCACAAAATAAACAAGAAAGAAGTTAAGGATATGAATACAACATTAGAAAAGTTGGGTATGATAGACTTGTGGAGAAAACTGAATGAGGATAGAAAGGAATATATTTTTTTCTTGGTGGTACATGGCACATACACAAAAATTGACCATGTACTAGGACATAAAAACCTCACAATCCAATGCAGAAAGGCAGAAATAGTAAATGCATCTTTTTCAGATCATGATGCAATAAAAATTATATGTAATAAAGGGCCATGGAAAGATAGACTAAAAAATAATTGGAAACTAAATAATTGAATCCTAAAAAATGATTGGGTCAAACAACAAATCATAGAAACAATCAATAATTTCATTCAAGAGAATGACAATAATGAGACAATATACCAAAACTTATGGGATGCAGCAAAAGCAGTTCTTAGGGGAAGTTTTATATCTCTAAATGCTTACATAAATAAAATAGAAGAAGAGGAGATCAATGAATTGGGCATACAACTAAAAAAACTGGAAAAAGAACAAATTAAAAATTCTCAATTAAACACTAAATTAGAAATATGGAAAACCAAAAGAAAAATTAATAAAATTGAAATTAAAAAACTATTGAACTAATAAATAAAACTAAGAGCTAGTTTTATGAAAAAACCAATAAGATAGATAAACCTCTGGTTAATTTAATTTAAAAAAGAAAGAAGAAAATCAAATTACTAGTATCAAGAATGAAAAGGGTAAAACTACCACCAAGGAAGAGGAAGTTAAAACAACAATTAGGAATTATTTTGCCCAACTACATGCCAACAAATTTGACAATCTTAGTGAAATGGATATATATTTACAAAAATATAAATTGCCCAGATTAACAGAAGAGGAAGTAAAATACTTAAATAACCCCATCTCAGAAAAAGAAATTGAACAAGTCATTGATGAACTCCCTAGGAAAAAATATCCAGGGCCAGATGGATTTACATGTGAATTCTATCAAACATTTAAAGAATAATTAATCCCAATACTATATAGACTATTTGGTAAAATAGGTAAAGTCTTACCAAATTCTTTTTATGATACAAATATGGTGCTGATGCCTAAATCAGGAAGAGTCAAAACAGAGAAAGAAAATTACAGAGCAATTTCTCTAATGAATATAGATGCAAAAATTTTAAACAAAATATTATCAAATAGATTACAGCAACTTGTCACAAGAATAATACACTATGACCAGGTAAGATTTACACCAGGAATGCAGGGCTGGTTCAATATAAGGAAAACTATCAGCATAATCCATCATATCAACACCAAAACTAATAGAAACCACATGATCATCTCAATAGGTGCAGAAAAAGCTTTTGACAAAATACAACACCCATTCCTATTAAAAACACTAGACAGCATAAGTATAAATGGAGTCTTCCTTAAAATAATAAATAGCATCTATCTAAAACCTTCAGCAAGCATAATATGTAATGGGGACAAGCTAGAAGCATTTCCAATAAGATCGGGGGTGAAACAAGGATGTCCATTATCACCACCGCTATTCAACATTGTACTGAAAACATTAGATTTAGCAATAAGAGAAGAAAAAGACATTGAAGGCATTAGAATAGGCAAAGAAAAAACAAAGCTATCACTCTTTGCAGATGACATGATGTTATACTTAGAGAATCCCAGATAATCAAGTACAAAACTACTTGAAATAATAAACAACTTTAGCAAAGTTGCAGGCTATAAAATAAACCCACATAAATCATTGGCATTTCTATATATTACCAAAAAAGCCCAAAAGCAAGAGATAGAAAGAGAAATTCCATTTAAACTTACTGAAGACATTATAAAATATTTAGGAGTCTACCTCCCGAAACAAACCCAGTAACTCTATGAACACAATTACAAAACACTTTTCCCACAAATAAAGTCAGATTTAAATAATTAGAAAAACATCAGTTGCTCATGGGTAGGCCGAGCTAATATAATAAAAATGACAATTCTACCTAAACTAATTTACTTATTCAGTGCCATAATCAAACTACCAAAAAAATTATTTTATAGAGTTAGAAAAAATAATAACAAGATTCATTTGGAAGAACAAAAGGTCCAGAATGTCAAGAGAACTAATGAAAAGAAATGCAGGAGAAGGTGGCCTAGCCATTCCAGATCTTAAATTGTATTATAAAGCAGCAATCATCAAAACTGCTTGGTACTAGCCAAGAAATAGAGTGGTGGATCAGTGGAATAAGTTAAGTATGCAAGACACAGTAGTCAATGACT